CCAGACTCAAAACCTTCTTCTTCAGAAAAGCCTTTACTTAACTGGTTCCATTCTTCATCCCTCTGCTCTTCTTAGTACCACCTTCCACGGTCTCCTCTATTGTTATTGTTGTGATTGTGTCTTATCTTGTGAAATTTTCCTATTTATTGTTGTAGTCTTCTTATTTATTGTTATTGTCATCCTGTAAAGTGCTTCGAGAAGCCACATTTAAAGGCTTTATATAAAATAAAGTTTATTATTATTATATTAGCAATATTCAGGCCACAATCTGGCCATCCTCTAATGAAGTCTATGTATTTCCCACACAATTGCGCCATGGACCTAAACTGCTCTTTATATATTCAGACAAAAACACAGAAATTGCTTCAAACCTTAGCTCAGAAAATAAATAAAACGATCCCTTTAACACCATACCAACTGCACTTTCACAATCTTTCACTGGTGGCCCTTGAACCAGCAATTTGATTACAATCAGTCCAGCTATGAAAACAGATGGATTACAGCCATTTCAGGCTACAGTATGTCTGTCATTAAGTTTGCCTTACTTAGTACTCACTCTTTGACCAGGAAAGCAGTTTTAATAAACAACCTTGTAACTAACAAGAATATAGGTGTTTTTGTGTTAACCAAAGTCCTGATGACTCTAAACCACTAGTATAGAATGGTTTTCTTAATTTCCTTAGTGCAACTCTTTTACTACTTTAATTTCAGAGATAAAGCTGCATTCTCATGAAGTTTCAATTAACTTAAAAAATGATATGCCAGCTTATGACCACTGAAGATCAAGGTTTCTGCATAGCACCATCCTAGGAAGTGTATATTTTGCAGAATACATGTAATTCAGATCAATCTATTGCACATTACTATAATCTGGAATGATAATGAGTACAGCATGAGACTGGCAGTGCTTGGGAGTTTGCTACAGTGGTCAGGACCTAATGCAGAGTAAGTCTTTGAAAGACAGGACTTGAGCCTAAAGCTGTCATATTAACTCCCAAGTGTTTCCTACAGATCACATCCCCCAGTCTGAAAGGTCTATGTGGCATTATTAAGAGGTGTATGTCTATCAAGGATAAGAGATCGCACTGCAGCAGCAGTCCGGATCAATAATTCCTACCTGATCAATCAAGCTGCCTTTTCATCAGAGCATCTGACTGACAACAGGAGAGACAAACAGAAAACACCTCCTTTTCAGCTGACTGGCTTGTCATTGCCTGACATTTCCAAGGACTAACAATTGATGAGCCGGCTTGCACAGCAACAAAACCGCTGGTGGCCTACTTTATTTTTTTTCTATTTTTCTCAATGACAAATATCTGTTCTGGCAAGTAATCTGTAACTAGACATATATTTCTTCTTAACCACTTGAATTTGAAGAGAATGAAAATTAGATACCCACTGAGAGCTAGCAAGCTGTGTAGCAGGATACTAATTGCCTCAGGTCTCAGGTAAAGGATGGGTTTTTAACCGGCTTTCTACTTCTAACAGTAAATAAATACATTTTCTCTGCAACTGAAAGGACAAAAAGCTAAACATGTAATTCAGATCATAGTAAAAGGTTACAAAGAATAGAGGCCATTTTAGCTTATTTAAATATTAGTACACGGTTGATTCTTGCCCAAATGTTTCCTGAAATACCAGTTTCAAGAACGGAATGGGTAGTTTGCTCCAGACTCTCAAGTCCACTTTTTTTGAAGACATATCTTCCTGTTTCTGTTAAATGTTCTCTCTCTTATTGTCCACTTACAGTATATTCTTTGGTATGTGCTGGTACTGTCTGTCCTTTGGAATATTAGGTATGTCAGTCTAAAATGTGGGTACTTGAGTGGGGATTCTTTGTGTGCTGTGGACTGGATCCCTCCAGGCTCCACGATGAACAGGTGGTTCCCTTTTGAAGCAGCCTGAATAGTCTGCTGTCCATCCCACAGAGACTTTCAGCGGCATGGGCACTTTAATTCTCTTTCCACGTTTTTAGATAATGTTTTTCCATCTTCAGTCAATCTATGGAAGTCAGAAATGGGACGATTCCTCTTAATTACTCCATGCCTCTCTATTATAATAATCACAATCTTGTCCCATTTATACAGAGACAACCTGGTGTGGCATAACTCAGCCTTATAAACTAACTTCTTGAATGTTCTACCCAAGTGACTGAGCTGCAAAATCACTCTGTACATTTCTTTCACTAATTATCATTTACTAGTTATAAACTTTTTTAAAGCAGAGACTACAAACCTGTCTAAGACTTTACCCGTGCTATCTAGAGTCTATACATTCAAATCTGAGGGATTTTTATTTTTTAAGAACTTTAATTTATTGTCACAAAGACATACAGAATAGATACAAAACCTTTACAAATCTACAGTATAAATACCTAAAACGGTATCTAGGCACACATGAAGAGAATATTCCCAAAAACAACAACAGAAAAATCAATCATTTAAAAAACCCATCATTCTAAATAAAACACTGCTGATGCTTTTTTATATAATCAAGAAAAACGCTTTTTGGTTTCTGGAAATTCTCTAACAGAGTTTTGAAAAGCAGTCCTTCTTTCTGTCTTCCACAGATCTTCTGCTATCTCCTTTCCTAGTCTCCACAGATTTCTCAGGTAATCATTTTTGTCAGTAACGCAAACTGACAGACTACCCGCATCCTTGACTGAAACTTCGATGCCTTTGAAAACCCCCACATTCCTCAACCTCCAAGGTGTGTCCTTTTCGCCACTTACTATGGCCCAAATCAAAGACATAAGGTAGTCTGAGAGGACAAATGAAAGAGCAGATTCAGTACAATGAAAGCAGCAGTCATGGAAAGTTTAGGCAACAGATCCTGCAACCGTTCCTAAAACTGGGTTCTTTCTTTCCTACAGGAGTCTAGACACAGACTAGTTCCTCTTTTCCTCCTTGTTGCTAATATACACCAGATTACTGATCCTGGGGTGTGGCCGATTACCCATAAAATGAATCATATTTGCTCTTTTCCCTCTGTGGAATCTCAATTGGATCCTAACTAATCAGTTTAGACAGGTATGTCTCATTTACACTCAAATAGGTGGCTTTAAAAAAAGACCTTACTTTCATCATTACACGGTTGATCTTCAAGAAGTCTATCGGGTTGAAGGTGTCATTAATATCATTCAAGTAAATGAAAAGCTTCAAATGTGATCCAGTAAAGAGTTGAGGCAGTAGACAATGGGATAATTCCACTCCTAACAGTGAAGTTATTTTAAATGTTTTTAAAATAAAGCAAAGAAATTCTGATTTCCTCTCACCTCCTGCAAACATCCAGATTAGATTAATTGGTGTCTCTATGTCTGTAGCTCCTCTGCATTTGTCCACACACCTTGCAATGGACTTGAATTCTGTCCTGTGCTCCCAAGACAGGTTCCTGTTTTCTCCAGCTCTTACCGCATCGCATAGGGTCTTCTACAAGATCTGACACAGATTTCAGTCCGTGTTCGTGACACTAACACGAGTGACACCACGTCAATTGTGCTTCATCAGTAGGGTAATCCTGGTTACAGTTAACCCCTGAGATTGCCCAGGCAATGTTTTTGGAGAGCACTTACAGTTTGCCAACTGTTTGTTTTTTTAACACAATTTCCAGTGTTTGTATTATTGAGAAAATATGGCTTTAGAAAAAAATAATTAAATTCAGAAAACCAGTTGCTATAACTTATTTAAACCCAATGAGACAGAAAATCCAGTTTCTACCAAATCATTAAAAATTGATCACCTTTAATCTACAACATCCTTGAAATGACATCATCTGGAGGGCTGCCAGGGTTAAGCTGGGTAAACCCCACAGGTTTCATGTGCATTCATTTCCAAACACACCAAGACTAAAATCGCCAAACAAACACTCATCTGAAACTGTTTTTATGTGCTCTTCAAACACCTTTAATGGCATACCAAATCTGACATAAAATGTGCCAAAATAATTACGACAGCAGAATGTTTATTTTATTAAGTAAATATACACATGGTACAAGGAACCCAACAGGACTACATAACTGGATGAAGACCAGCATTAACAGCAATCCTTTTTATTTTCCTGCACTACATAAAAGACGTCTATTTATTCTTTGATTACTTTTACTACTAATACTTCTGGCTCGGTATTTTAAACTCAATGTAGACATGCTTGAATAACCAGATATTATTTAACTTCACAAGTCAAACACTGCTTGCTCATAGAACTTAGCTTTTAAAGTCCGTCTTTGGTTCTTGTTATTGAAAATCTAGTATATTGTTTCTGGGCTTCTTACTTATCTCACAAAGAAATTAAACTGCCACAGTGACCTCACACTATATGTGGGATATCCGTTTCAACTTTACTATGAAACAGAAGACCAATCTTCACCAATCTTCACTTAAAGATAGAAGACCATCTTTTCAACGGCATGGGCAATTTAGTTTCCATTGCTCTCCCAAATAAAGTATAATGTCCAAAGAGCTCTTGAAGATTGATGGTCTCTAATATTGCACCTAACCTCCCTGTTACCTGTACCATTAATAAACAAGAGAAACTACTTCCACAAAAAAAGAGGTGTAATTTAACTAAGAAGGTTTCTAATTCAATTAGTAAATAATTTATTTGTTAGTTTTTAAAACAGAACCTATAATTTCTATAATAGCCTTGCAAAGGCTTGATATATTACTATGATGCATTCTGTGTACCTCACACACAGTTTCTCAAAGTTGTTGTGGCGGCTGACATCACCTCCAGAATCTCTGCCAACAGATAATTACGAACACAGTACTATGTCCCCTTATTTTAAGGCGAGTGATAAGTAAAAGAAACAAGTTCTGAAAAGTTGCCTGGTGCCAACAAGTCTTATATTTAGAAAGTACAGAGTCTGCTGCCAAACTGTTTTAATAGCAGAGCCTTCTGTCACAGAGACAATGATACAATAAAGGAAGAAAAAAGAACTACAAGTGATAGCTGTCAAATACATCTAAAAACATTTTATTTTTCCAGTTCAGACCAGTGACAATTTCAAGAGGTACCAGAAATGAACACTGCCCCAGTTTCTCACCGAAGCTTCCCTTTCAGGTAAGTACTTATGTACTTAATCATTGTAAACAGACAAATGCAAAGAGACGTTTAAAAAAGGTTTAAAGTGCATAACAGCTAGTTTAGCCTGAACATGTCAAGTTAATTAACTATTAATATTATTGCTGTAAAGTTTCAAATCCACAGTATACTATATGACTTAAGTGTCTCCTGTTCTTGTACAACTGAGTTCACAGTTATTGGATTGAAAACATAAATGAGCAAAGATTTATTTAAATTAGCTGAAAATGTTAAATTAGGTCCCAACAGAACCACAAACAGGTAGCAGTACAGAGTAGTATTCAGGGCCTTGGACTACAGAGGGTCATGGTTTCAAATCATGTGTGTGACACTGCTATTGTACCCTTGTGCAAGGTTATGGCTCAGATCGTGCTAGCAATTGTGCTCTATAAATAGGTTCACTCTCCAGGTTATCACTTTACATGGTATTTGGTCTCAATTTATTTATCTAGTTAATACAAGATTTAAATTAAAAAGCATACAGATCTCAACTGAATTATGCATTTCAATAGCTAAGTTAAAAATTCTTATGGCTTAAGAGCTGAAGCTTACCCAACTGTCTGAAAAGTTCAATAAATGAAAACCCAGAGGCACTAGTGTCAGGAAGACCAGGACTAAGATTTGCTCTGTCTTAAGTTGTGGTACTCAACATCAGTTTCCCAGGGTCCAAGCCAGGACATTAGACATACTGTAGATGTTAAATCATCAACAGATGAAGAAGGTGTTAAAATGATTCAAGCTTACAAGGTGATCGATGATTAAGACAGTGAAGAACTGGTGTCATTTCAAGACTAAAGAAAGTGTTGCTTATACACACGGCTATCCCATCTTAACTGCTAACAACATTTTAATTTCATCTCCCCATTATGCATGAGGCCTTCCAATTGATCTTCTCTCATCCCTTGGGATCCAAGGCACAATCTTCTTGATCTAGATTTTTTTTTACTGTTCAGCATATCCAGCCACTTTTTACCAATGTTAATTTATATTGCTTTTAGTTTTTTAATAATTCTTGTTTTAGAGGCCCAGTTTTACATCCGTAGGCAAGCACAGGGTACAACCACTGGTTGAGGACTTTGTCTAACCCAAAAGTAGTTTTGCTTTAACACTGATTTAACGTTCTAAAAATTTGCATCCCACTTCAATGCTTCCATTTATTTTAGAAACCTGCCTTTCTTTCACCCCTAGTGTGGCTATTTACAGATAATTAGAGGCTATATAGAGGCCTCTAGTGGAAGGTTGTAGCCTTTTCTTAAGACAGCCTGCTACACACTAAATCTAAAACAAAGGAGAGTGTACAGTATATAGCATTCAGACATTTTAACAACAGAGATAGGACACATATACCAGTGAATTATTTACACATGGGGCATTATTAACGTTTAGCTTTAACAAGCTGACATTTGGATGAACAAATGTTAAGTATGCGTTTCTATTATGCTTTGTGGTAATGTTGCAAAGGTGAAGTACATAACAAAACTAAAAAACAAAGCTCTTCAGGTGGTGTAGGTGAGAGAATGCTGCTTGGATAACACAAGAAATTCCACTCCCCTCCAAGTAAAAGCCACGGTATACAGTTGCCAGTATTATGCAATGTCATCTTGGTGGCCAATCAAACTTTAATTTGTTAATGTACATCAGCCTCCTTGGATTCTAATCAAATAAAATCAAATGTCCATCAAGCTGGAAAACGCCAAATGTGAAATGATATATCTGACCTTCAAGTGAATCAGCATTTTTGATCATAGACTGCTTAGTCTGGAGACAGACTTCAGTTATAAAAAACAGACAACAGATAGAATTGCAAAACCAGACAGGGATAAACAGTATGAGAATAAAACCTTTCAAAGGTCAGGGTATCCGAACTCCAACTAAAAAAGAGTTAAATGGCTCCAAATCATTGATAAGATTCCCTTCCACACCCCCTATCTCTCTTTTGCTTTTTTCCAGGAATACAGGTGATCTTGTGTTTTGTATTTGCATATTTCTTTTCTCTGATTTAACACATCCCTTTCCACAGCCCACACAAGACATGACAAGGTCTTTTCCCATCCTCTGCCTTGATAGGGATGTTTAGATCCAGCTCCCAGCAGATTACTGAGAGCTCAAAGAAACTTTATACAGCTCTGATGACTTCAATGATGCAATTATTTCATTTTGACGTAAAGTATTTGCATATTTTTTCAAAGCTGCTATAAAGCTGATGGTGTAAAAGCCAGAATGGATTAAAGGAAAGCCGTGAAATGCTTTCAAGGTCAGATAGTTGAAAGTTTTGCTGTATTATTGCACAGGAACAATTGTCACAGATTCGCTTTGCCAAGAAACTTAAGTTGACTTAACTACTAATAGGAGCTCCTGGTCATCAAGGCAAGCTGTTTAATATAGCAATGTCAAGTCTATATGGAATACTTCTTAACAGTAAGAATGGATACAAATAAACCCTTGCAGTCTCACCTGCCACCCTGTCTTCCTTAAGGTTGAGAGTTCCTGGGAGAACCCAGCTTTTTGAACCTGTTGCATCCCACTGTTACGACCTTAAAATAATATATCTAGGTTTTGACCAAAAGCCGCAACATAAAAAGAACACCCAAAAGATTGGATTCTCCTGGGAAAACTAACTGACTAACCAAACCAAAACAAAAATACATACAACATGTCTTTCCCCATCCCAAAAGCCACATACCGCTCAATTATCTCCATTCCCCACACGTATCTGATCTCTCAGCCGCCTCCTCCCCCTGTTTGCAGTCTCGTCTTGCCCTTTTAAATGCTCCCACTTCTTCTACTTAATTAATTAATTGGCAACACCTGGGAAAAGAGGAGAAAGCAATTAGAAAAAAATAAAACTCCAACCAAGGACTGTAACACCACAGGGCAGAGATTTTCGTTATAGTGTAAGGAGCAGATGTAGATTTTCTGCATCCGAAGCAGCTTTAGTCCAAGGCTGCAAGTTATCAAGTTATCCCCTAAAGGGATTTACATCCTCTATTCTCTGTCTCTGTTAAACCACTTCCTTCTCCAGAGCAGAATCCCAAGGGCTGCTCAACCTATCATTTCTCACTTTGTTGTTACATGCTCCCGATTGTTATCAACCACCAGACACCCAAGTTTTTGCTGTAGTGTACAGTATTCTGCCCAACTGATCTTTTAAAAATGGCAGGGCATTTCTATTTCATTTATTTACTAGTCACCAAGATGGCTCACTGCCTCTCTGAATATATTGAAGTTCTACATGCTGATGATGCACCCGCTGCTCTAGACAAATCAAGGCAGGGATTGATTTGCATTTACAGATTTGACGGATGTGTACTTTTATGATCCCAGTACAGAACATTACTGTTGCAACCTCCTCTTCCTGATTGAAGGTCATACCTACAAGATTTGCATCTCACCATTCAGGCTTTTCCTTAAACCCCCAACTATTTTCCAAGTGCACAGGGACAGTAATGGTCCCCATTCACTAATGAGACATTAAGCTCTTTAACTATCTACAGTAAATGGCTCGCTGGTCCTTGGCCACTCTGGTGGTGGGGTCTGAGGTGGGGGGAAGTCTTTTGCTTTCATATTTTTAAAATTAGGAAGGTTGCTTTAAAACAGGTAAAGTTTACGTAGCTCATGAAGGAGAAATTATTTATGGCCACTTCTCATATGATGAAGTTGACCAGGACTTGAAGAACCTGAGAGAATAGAGGCCTTTCTCTTCTTAAAGTGTTACAAAGTGTTAAGCTGAAATCTGTGGCCATGATCCCCACCCTATTGACAACCATGCTTTATAAGCTACACTTGCTGTGCTCCACCAGGGCATATACTGTACCATTGCGTGTATGGGACAGGAACCTTCAACATGTCTAAACAGCTCTACGTCCTTCCAGAATAGGGATCTGGCCCAGCAGTTTCCTGGAACCAATTGAAACTAACCAAATGGTCTTGACATGACACTCCACCACTTTGGGCCTGCTTACCCTATTGTTGTGCGAAAGCTTGGGTACCCCACTTCACGAAAATGTAAAGACATTTTATGGGATACCATTTCAACAAAAATTCCAATGAGATATCATGACTAATTAAAGAAGAAGGGTGGAGTCAGAACCGAGCACTTGCAACCAAATAAGCATTTAGGATCAAATATTGTCCTCTAATTTGTGGCATTCTATGTGTTTTCATGACCAGTAGAGAAGCTTAAAAAGTGAATTTGTATTATCTTGGTGATGTAATTTCAATTTAATTTTTTGAAATTGAATAATCCTTTGCAATCAAAAGCAGGTTACATAATTAGAGACAGAGATATAACTTATGAGACTAATTCATATGAATGATATTTAAGCAAATTTCATAACATATTGACAGGACTGAAATGGAAATAAAAACATTTTGTATTTTCATATCTAACCAGACTTGCTTTCCTCATATAACACAAATTTAAAAATATGTCCACATACATTTTACCTGTTTTTTCATAGCAAGTTAAAGGTTCAGCGAATAGCTCAATATATTTTTTGTGGAAAACCCCAGGAGTGCACATTTACTGGGCATCTGCTTCGCTGCAAAGCTTGTATTACTTATTTTAAGGTAGCATTAAAAACTGTTAATGTTTCATTTCTTAGTAAAATTCAAACTGTTAATGTTTAACAAAACTTAAATTTGGGCCCCAGACGACCATAGAAACATGGAAAACACAACCCCTTTTACCATTAGAAATGTGTGTTTATAGCAAAAGGCTGTATTTGTAAAATTGGAAAAAAAATATGACTCAGGACTTGTTCATTTGCAAGGCCTTTTCTTATAGGCCATAGGCATTTTCCATGCCAGTGTCAGAAATGGTTAAGGTACCTTTTTAGTCTGTGGAAACCCTTTAAGTAAAGGTTGTTACTCTGGAGACATTCCTATGGGTCAAACAAACAGAACAGAAACATGGAACTGGGAAACAAGGCTTTGTGTTTTTCCCCAACTTGTTTTTTTAAGAGGCTGAATCCTTTATT